AAGAAACAAAAGGGGGCCCTATAATGACTCTACGAAGAGGCTGCTGCTGCTGCTGCTGCTGCTGCTGCTGTTGCTGCTGCTGCTGCTTTGGAGTCGGCAACGCAGCAGCAATGGTTGCTGCTGCTGCTCTGCAACTTCATAAAGCCCTTCCGTTTCTCTTCAAGAATTAATTTTTAATTAATTAAAGAAAATGCCAATAAGCCTTTGCTGCGGCTAAGCCTAGCCCTTGGTCCCCGCTGCTGCTGCTGCGGAGTAGGAACAGTGCTGCTGCTGCTGCTGCTGCTGCTGTTGTTGCTGCTGCTGCTGCTGCTTCTGCTGCAGACAAGCTCTAAAGGGGATTTCAACAGCAAAACCCTTTATTAGGGTTTGTTCAAATGGCCAGGCGCTGCACTGCTAAGGTGTTTGTCTATCACTGGACGCAGCAGCAAAGGATGAGTAACTTTTGTTTTATTTCTTTATTTCTTTTTATTTCTTTTTTATTTCTTTTTTCGCTTTTTGTTAAATTAAATTAATTAAAATAAACTGGGGGTGCAGCAGCAATAGCTGCACTGAAGCAGAAGGCGGAAGGCTGGAAAAAGGCAGCTCTCCACCTGGCGTGGGGTTTAGGGTTTAGGGTTTAGGGTTTAGGGTTTAGGGTTTGGAGTTAAACAGTTGGATTGCTGCGAAGCAGAAGGGCATCAGGGGTGCCTGAAGGACCAAATCATGTTGCAGCTGTTGGCACTGCTGCTGCTTTTCCTGCTGCTGCTGCAGCTGCTGCTGCTGCTGCAGCTGCTGCTCCTGTGGTCCTCGCCTTCCTATACATGCTATAGCCACTGCTGTGCTGCTGTTGCTGCTGCTGCTGCTGCTGTTTCTGGCGCTGCTGTTGCTGCTCTTGTTATCCTCGCTGCTGCCAATGCGGCTGTCTTTGCAGCAGCAGCTGCTGCTGCAGTAACTATAGCAGCAGCAGCAGCAGCAGCAGCAGCAGCAGCAGCAGCAACGGCAGCAGCTTATCTGCTTGGGCATAAATATAAAGGAAAAGGCAGCGGGCGGAAAAGACAAAAAGACGAAAGAGATTAAAAGAGATGAAGAGGAAATAAAAAAAAGAAATAAAAAAGAATAAAAGCAAAAAAAGAAAGAGAAATAAATGTTCAAACTCCAAACATTTATTTCAAATTGAATTTCTGCTTTTTATAAAAGCCTAAATCTGTACTTTATAATTATATTTATTTGTGTAAATAAATGTGCATATATTTAAATATATATTTATTTAAATATATTTATATTTAAATGTACATTTATATATATATATTAATATACATTTAATATATAAAAAGAAATGAAAATAAACTAAAATATGTTTATAAATATATTTGCATAAATGCAGAATTAGTTACGTATAGTTAGGTGTACATACACTCAAAAAGCGGGTCTATACATATAAATGCAAATATATCTTTTTGGATTAATAAATTTATATATTTATAAATGTTTAAATCTATATATACATATTTATATATATTTATTACATAAATTTACATGTTTTTATACGTTTAATTCTATATATACATATTTATGTATATTTATTATATATATTTATATATTTATAAATGCTTAATTCTATATGTACATATTTATATATATTTTTATCTTTTTGGATTGATAAGTTTCTATATTTATAAATGTTTAATATTATATATACACATTTATACATATTTATATCTTTTTGGATTAATTTTTAAATATATTTATAAATGTTTATTTGTATATTTACATATTTATATATATTTATTTCTGGATATGAATATGTTTTTATTTGTATATATTTATCTGCATATATACACGGACATATATATATATATATGTTTATTTATATTTATATTTATATGCAGTAGACAAATATATATAAATGTATATATATGTATATATATATCTGTACATATATATGTATATAAACAAATATATATATATATATATATATATACTTAAGTATAAATATATGCATATTTATATATATATATGTATATCTATATATTTACATTTATATAATTAAATATATTTTCATACGCATTAAAAGAAGCAAATATATGAATATGTACTAATCAGTTTTTTCTTTTAATAGTAGTGGCATTTAGAATTACTTTTAATAACTGCTTTTTATTCCTTTTATTGAAAACAGTGCAAATACAATTTATTTTATATATTTATTTTAAGTACATTTTGTGTATTTATATCTTTTTACTAATATTGGTGAAAATGAAACTTTTTAAAATTACTTTTTCCTATTTCCTTTTATTTCTCGTTAGTAATGATACACAATTTACTCCAGAAAAAGCTACTTCAGAAGCTCTTAGATAAATTGGTAAAAAATAACTTTCCACCAAAAAGCAAAATACAAAGAAAATCATAATAGCACCATGTAATTTGGATTCTCTAATGCAACAACGCGTAAACCAGAAGAGCTAAACTCAAGTCTAATTAAGACTTAAGGCATAAAGCAATAATAACTAAAGAAAAAAAACTTTTTTGAATATTTAAGTTTATAACTTTTTCTGAGGTTAGAACACCATAACCCAGAATAACACTAGCAGTGGATAGTGGGAATGTAATAGTTACAATAAGACCTCTGCTAAAAAGTTTTTTATAATTACTTTTTCTGATTTCCTTTTATTTCTCTGTTCCGTCTGCTTCATTTGTTTCATTTATTTCATTTATTTCATTTATTTCATTTATTTCATTTAGTCTATTTATTTTGTTTATTTCATTTCTTTTATTTATTTCATTTATTTTATTTATTTTATTTATTTCACTTATTTCATTTATTTTATTTATTTCATTTATTGCATTTATTTTATTTATTTCATTTATTTCATTTATTTCATTTATTTCATTTATTTCTTTTATTTCATTTATTTCTTTTATTTCTTTCATTCCATTTATTTCATTATTTCATTTATTTTATTTATTTCATTTATTTTATTTATTTCATTTATTGCATTTATTTCTTTTATTTTTTTAATTTCTTTTAATTTCTTTAATTTCTTTTATTCCATTTATTTCATTATTTCACTTATTTTATTTATTTCGTTTATTTTATTTATTTCATTTATTGCATTCACTTCTTTTATTTCTTTTATTTCTTTTATTTCTTTTATTTCTTATATTTCTTTTATTTCTTTTATTTCTTTTATTTTATTTACTTCATTTATATAATGGGGCTGCATGCATGCAGCGGCGGCCAGCGCCATGTTAAAGCAAATGAACCCATTAATGCATTTCCTGCATTTTTAAATATTTATTTGTTCTTAAATACACAAATAAATATATTTATGTACTCATGATTTTAATTAATTAATTATTTATTTATTTATTGTGTTTATTTATTTATTTATTATGTAATTATTTAATTATTTATTTATATTTATTTTATACTTATAATTGTAAAAAAAATTTCGAAAATTCGGACTTGTGGATCTAAAAAGGCCGAAAATGTTTAAAACCGAATTATTAATTTTGGCCAATTGGGCCAAAAGTGAAATTTTGGAAATTAATAAAAAAATTAAAAAGAAAACAAAAAGTCAAAAAGCCCTTTTTAAGTGGGGCCCCACACGTACACTCGAGGGCCCCCCGGGTGCACGTTTTTTCGTGCAGTTTTTTTTATATTATTATTTATAAAAAGGTTTTTTGTTTTCTTTTTTCTTGGGACTTTCGCAAAAAGACCAACAAGTGCCATTTCGGAAGTTCTTTGCATGCATTTGGCGACTTTTGGGGACCTCAAAGAGCCCAGAAAAAACCAAAATGCGCTTTAATTGGAACTTCCATAAAACAAATAAAGTCTTTTGAAAAATGTGCAAAAAAGACGAAAGTTTTGGTACTTTTAATGGTTTTTGATGACTCAAATCTCTCAAAAAGTCCTTTTCAAGTTCTAAATTTAATTTAATTCAAAATTTAAATGCTGGACTAGTGCTGACGTGCTTCGACCCAGCAGCAGTGCGGTGTACGTACACCGCATGAACTGCATGCATCGCATTTCGGGAAATCTTTCACATAGACATTTCATTGTTCATATATTTATGCATTTAAATACTTAAATATTTATATTTATATATTTTAAATTATCTTTGGCGATTTTTACGGGCTTTAGTGCGGCAGAAGCGCACAAAGAAACTTCCATTCACCGGCGTCGCATTCTGGGCAACAGGAAATGCGTTCATGGCACAAGTGGAGGTCTAAAGTCGATATAAATGTGAATTAAAATGCAAATTAAATAATAAATAGAAATAAACATAAATATAAATGCAAATATGAATATAAATGGAGCAATAAGTGCAAATGGGCGCGTGAAGGCGAAGTTGCAAACGAGGTGTATGTCCATCCAGTGTCTTCTGATACTCTGAGCGCAAATTTGAAATTCAATTTATTTATTTTTATTATAAATTACTTTTTAAAAAGAATAAAAACAAATTCTTGAATTTCTATTCGCTTATATTCTCTGCTTTTTGTTTGCAGTGTTTGTTTTGTTTGTTTTTCAAGTGTACAGACACTTGAAATCGGAGCACCAAAGCAGCATTTATTTATCTCTTTCGATCCAGAACAATTTTAATTCCTTTTTTAAAAATAATTAAAAGTTAATTAAAAGAAATAAATTTGTTTATTTTGTTTGAAATTTAATTTCAAGCAAAGGCCAAGCGGCTCACTTGGGGGCCCCTTCTAGACCCTTTTAATTTGGGGGCAGCTGCTTCGCCTATAATGTTATTTGTGGCTAGTCTTGTGTCTTGATTTGGTGTGGAGAGGAAGCAATTCGGTTAGCTGCAGCAGCAGCAACGACCGAGCAGCAGCAGCAGCAGCAGCAGCAGCAGCAGCAGCAGCAGCAGCAGCAGCAGCAGCCGCCATGGGCCAAACAAGGCTGCTGCTGCCTCGCAGGCTGGACGCCAAGCTGCCGCCTCAGCTCGCAGCAGCGGACTCCCCCGCCACAGCAGCAGCAGCAACAGCAGCAGCAGCAACAGCAGCAGCAGCAACAGCAGCAGCAGCAACAGCAGCAGCAGCAGCAGCAAGTCTCTTTGACAATGCAGCTCCTGCCAACTGCGCCACAGCTTATTTGCTGCCTTGCTGCAGAGACCCCCCAACAAACTTGCCCCCCAAGGGGGCCCCCCACGCAGCAGCAGCAGCAGCAGCAGCAGCAGCAGCAGAGGGGCCCCCCGTTACCCCACAGTCCCCAGGCCCTGCAGCAGAGGGTTCTTCTGCTGCAGATAGCAGCAGCAGCAGCAGCACAAACAGCAGCAGCTGCTGTTGCTGCTGCTGCTGCTGCAGCAGCAGCATATACGCCTGCGTCCACTACACAGGATGCCCTACAGTTCAGTGCATGCGCTGGGAAGGGATCAAGCTGCAGCAGCTGCAGCAGCTGCAGCAGCTGCAGCAGCAGCAGCAGCAGCAGCAGCAGCAGCAGCAGTATGGGGTTTTGAGCCACGCATGGCGGCTGGAGCTGCCGCCCCAAGCTCGGGACGGGGCGGTGTCCTGCATGGTAGATCAAAACCCTAAACCCTAAACCCTAAACCCTAAACCCTAAACCCTAAAGTGTGGTTATTTGTTCAAGTTTGTGGATAGAGATTTGCTGCTGCAGCAGCAAGCCTGACTTTGTGTGCAGCGGTGGATTGAGCTGGAGGAGGGATCGCTGGGGCTGCTCGTGGGGACCACCAGGTGCTGCTGCTGCTGTTGCTGCTGCTGCTTTGTTGCTGCTGCTGCTGCTGCTGCTGCTGTGGTACTGCTGCTGCTGCTGCCATGGTGGTGCTGCTGCTGCTTACGTAGGTTGCTGAGAGCTGCTGACCTGCTCTGCCGCAGGTGCAGCAGCAGCTGTAGCAGCAGCAGCTGCTGCTGCAGCCGCTGCTGCTGCTGGCCCCGCTGCTTCTTTTCCATTGCTAGTGTTGCTGCTGCTGCTGCTGCTTCTGCTGCTGCTGCAGCGGCACGCTGTGTATGTACACTGCGGGCGGGGCTTCCTGCGTCTGCTGCTCCTGGCTGCCTCTTCGTCTTCTTGATCTCCAGCTTGTCAGCAGCAGCAGCAGCAGCAGCAGCAGCAGCAACGGCAGGTGCAGCGGCAGCAGGTGCAGCAGCAGCAGGTGCAGCAGCAGCAGCAGCAGCAGCAGCGGGGTCCCCGGCTGTCTAGAGGACGCCAGCTTCCTGCTGCTGCTTCTGGAGGACGGCCACGTTGCTGCTGTGCCTCTTGCTGCTCTCAGAGCAGCAGCAGCAGCAGCAGCAGAGAATGCAGCAGCACGAACAGCTGAGGGGCTGCTGCCGCCCCATTTGCTGGAGCATCGGATCCCTGCAGTGCTTGCTAAGTATGCTGCTGCTGCTGCTGCTGCTGCTGCTGCTGCTGCCGTTGTTGCTGCTGCAGTTGCTGTCGCTGCTGCTGCTGGCTGCAGCACGCAGCAGCTTCGGGCTGCAGCAGGGCTGGCGCCGGGTGTATGTACAGCGCAGGCTCGAGGACCGCGAGGCTACTGCAGCAGCAGCAGTTGTGGGAGCAGCAGCAGCAGCAGCAGCTGCTGCTGCTGCTCCTGCCGCCCCCAGCGCAGCTGCCCGCAAACAGCTGGACGAGCTGCTGGAGCAGCTGCAGGACCCCACGCAGCAGCAGGAGCCCACGCAGCAGCAGGAGCCCACGCAGCAGCAGCAGCAGCAGCAGCAGCAGCAGCAAGATGCATGCGCAGCAGCAGCAGCAGCAAGACTCCGAACACACAGCCAAAGCAGCTCCCGCAGGAGGGGCCCCTCGGCCTTGGGGGCCCCCCGGCAGCAGCAGCACTCTTTGTCCCCGCTGCGGCGGCTGTCCCCGGGCCCCCACCGGCAGCAGCAGCAGCAGCAGCAGCAGCAGCTGCTGCTGCTGCAGCCGCTGCAGCAGCAGCAGCAGCTGCTGCTGCTGGCTGCTGGCGCGCGGCCGCTGCTGTCGCTCCACAGCTTGCTGCTCGATGACTCGCAGCAAATGCGCCGCTTCTCTTTCTTCGCAGTAACTGCTGCTGCTGCTGCTGGCAAGCTTGCTGCTGCTGCTGCTAGGGGGGCCCTCAGTCTCCTGAGGGGGGGGACCTCGCAGCAGACCAAGCAGCAGCAGCAGCAGCAGCAGCAGCAGCAGCAGCAGCAGCAGGCGCAGTCGTCTAGGCGTCCCAGCGACGCGGAGGATCCTACAGTAGGTGAGCGTCGGCTGCAGCAGCAGCAGCAGCTGCTGCTGTTGCTGCTGCCGGTGGTACTGCCTTTTTTCTTCGCTGCAGGCCGGCACAGCCCTACTATTGCCTGCTGCTGCTGCTGCTGCTGCTGCTGCTGCTGCTGCTGCTGCTGCTGTGCTGCAGCAGAGGCCCCCCTGCTGCAGATAGGCTGGACAGATCCCCTGCGGGTGGCCCTGTCTTTGTGCGTTTGCCCTTGGGACTCTTCTGTGGCTGCTTTGAGTGACTCTTTAGGCAGAGTGAGCAGGTCTTGCTGCTGCTGCTGCTGCTGCTGCTGCTGCTGCTGCTGCTGCTGTTTTGGCGGTGTCTTTGTTGGCGGTGCTGGCTTCTCCGCTGCTGCAGTCGATCCGCTTGCTGCTGCTGGTCCGCTGCAGCAGCAGAAATGCCCAGGGTGCTGCTTTAGAACATTTGCGCCGCTGCAGCAGCACCGAGACAAGCTGCTGCAGCAGGCAGCAGCAGCAGCAGCTGTGGCGCCCGTAGCAGCAGCTGCAGTTGCAGCAGCAGCAGCAGCAGCAGCAGCTGTGGCGCCCGTAGCAGCAGCTGCAGTTGCAGCAGCAGCAGCTGCTGCTGCACTAGCACCAGCTTTTGCAGCAGCAGCAGCAACAGCAGCCGGCGTAGGAGCACCCGTAGCAGCAGCAGCCGCTGCAGCAACAACGAAGCGACAGCAGCAGCAGCAGCAGCTGCTGCTGCTGCTGCAGCAGCTGCGGCCTGCGCGCCTGCTGCTGCTTTGCTGCTCAGGTCTCTCTTCTATCTGTGTCTTCTTTGCTGCCTCTTTGGATGTTAAAAGGCTACAGAAATGCCCGCCTTGTTTGGCTGCGGAGGCAGCCCTTGAGCTGCACAGACGCAGCAGCAGCAGCAGCAGCAGCAGCCCCTGCTGCTGCTGCTGCTGCTGCTGATGCCCTCGCCAGAGGGCCCAGTGGAGGCCTTCTGATCCACGGGCCAAAACGAGGTGAGACATGACTATGGCAGCAGCTGCTGCAGCAGCACCCCGGGGGGCCCCCAGGGGGCCCCCAGGGGGCCCCCAGGGGGCCCCCAGGGGGCCCCCAGGGGGCCCCTAGGGGCCCCTAGGGGCCCCTGGGGGCCCCTTAGTATTCTGCAGGGGCCCCCGGGGGGCCCCCCTAGGAGTGGTGAGGGCAACTGCAGCAGCAGCAGATATGTTCAGAAGCCCGCGCTGCAGCTGCTAGAGCCACTGCCGTTGCTGCTGCAGTTCTTAGGATATTGTTGCTGCTACTGCTGCTGCTGCTGCTGCTGCTGCTGCTGCTGCTGCTGTGTCTTTTCAGGGCTGCTGGAGCTCTTTAGTGGGCCCTCGCAGCAGCGGCTGGCAGTTGCGCTGAGCATAAGCCCTGAGTCTTTGCTGCTGCCTTGCAGTGCTGCTGCAGCAGGCTGCTGCTGCTGCTGCTGCAGGCACAGCAGCAGCTGCTGCTTCCTGCTTGATGCACAGGGACTCGCTCTTATACAGTGGCCACCGGGCCTCTAGCTCTACAGGTCGACTTTCCAGAGCGTTTAGGGTTTAGGGTTTAGGGTTTAGGGTTTAGGATTTAGGGTTTAGGGTTTAGGGTTTAGGGGTTGGGGTTTAGAAGGGAGGGTTTACTTTCTAGACCCGCAGCAGCGCAGCAAAGGACTACCAAACCACTATTGGCAAACGGCTACACAAATTAGTCTTGCGATTTAGGGTTTAGGGTTTAGGGTCTAGGGTTTAGGGTTTAGGGTTTAGGGTTTAGGACTGCATTGGACTCGCCACCCATGTGGGTGCATATAGAGCCTATATATATATATATATTTATATATATATATATATATACACATAAGTTTTTATTCAAAGTATTTATATATATATGGATATGTATATATTAATACGTAATTTTAT